TTTTTTTTTCGTCTCCTGCATTTGAAAGGGGGCCTGAGTTGCCGCGTGACGCCCCTGGTGTGATGGCTCTACTCATTGGTATGCGTACCTTCCTTCTTGCCCGCGGGGCACTCTCTTCCTGTTCTCAAGCCCCAATTACAAGCGTGACCTAGTGTTGGGAGCAGTGCTGCTGCATTTAGTTGAGTGTGTGTGTGTGTGTGTGTTAGTGTGTAGACATCAGCAGACGTCCTCCCACCGCACACATGACGGAGTACCTGAAGGACCTCGGCAGGACAAAGCCCGGTGACCCGATGCCACCCATCAATCTCGGCCCGTACGACAACCCGCTGCTGTGGAATGTGCTTGACCCGTTCGGCGCGGATCGCGGCCACCAGCGCCGCCCGATGTCTGTCTCACGCAACTTCATGGAGCTGCACAATGTTCCTATCATTTTCCGTGACCAATGCGTCCACCGCTGGGTTCCGTTTCACCGCTGCATCAAAAACTTGAAACCGGTGACGTGGGGAACGGTCAACTGCCACGAGTTTGAGGAGGCGTGGATGGTGTGCCGTGCGTATGAAACGTACCGAAACCAGTTATTGAAGACAAAATTCATGGAACTGACAAAGGACTACACAGCCGAAGACAAAAAGTTTTTTCCTAGTTTGCTCTACATGGGTGTCCCGACGTACATGAATTCGTTTTACTGGACCATGGCAGCGTCGCAACGGCTTAGCGGGTGGGATGAAAAGGATCCAGCGAACCCTATGATGTGGCGCGAGCCCAACCGAGCCCTCATGCGATCGGAGTTTTCTCCTACCAATTGGGAAAAGAGCACCATGACGAACGCAACCGGTCATAAACTTATTCCCGACGAAATTGTGTATGATATGGTGCCAGGGTTCCCACTACCGGAAGACAAGCGACCTCAATTGGTTGCATAGGGCAGATGGGGTCAGGTGTTGTTGTTCTTGTGAGGGATTAGGGGCTTGGGGTGGGGGGAGTTGGGTCTTTAGTGGGTGAGGGAGAGATACGAGTGTCTTGTGTGCTTTTCTTTACGTAGTATGGGCACGTCGGCGTGGATTAGGCAGCGATAGTGATAAAAAAAAATGGTAGTGGGCCCTTTTTGCCGCCGCGCACGTCGTAGAGTGAAGAGTAGTACGAATGTTTTTCCCCTCTCGTTTGGTAGCAAGAAGAAGAATGATATAGTGATGGCTTGTTGGTGACTTTGATACCGCGCTGAGAGTATCTTCTTGAAAGTGTGGCGTACCTTTCCTGACTGACCCTTGCACCATTCACCAACATATTGGAATGGGACGCTGAGGAATAAATCTGAATAACACCTACACGATCTGTTTTTCTTTTTATGTTTATTTCTTGTTGTTGTTATACACCCATGTTTCTTCACTAGGCGTTCTACAACTTGAGGAGGGTTGTCCCCCGCTTGTCGGCGCCTCATTGCTCTGGAGGTTCTTCTGGCGCGCGGTGGCCACACCTCGGTGTTGCACTGTTAGTGAACTCGCCGTGGTACGCAAAAAAAAAAAAACGGCAACAAGAAAAGAATAAGGAGGGAGGAGTGGCGTTGCTCTCGTGTGTATGCGTCCTCCGGTCGCTCGTGTCTTCAAGTCACCAAACGCAGCGCGCCGTCGTCGAGCCGTCTTTGGTAACTCTGGTGGGTGCATCTTGCAACACTTGTCACTTGCGCTGGGAATAGATGCCGCGCCAACCGAAGGTCTCTCGGTTTCCCTTTCTGTGGTTGTGAAGGAACATCTCCCGCCTTTTCTTGCCCTGGCGTTTTTGAGCCAATGCTGGGTATCGTGGACGGTATCAATTTGCTGTGCCTCAGAGATGCAAAATTCACGTATCGGTGCAGACGATGCTGAAGCTTTAGGAGCACTACTCAAGGCATCGGAAGAAAGTCTGCGGTCGTACGTTCAGCAGGAATGCAGCAGAGAGCGGAACCCGCGCGTGCATGCCCCACGGCGCCAAGCAGGCTCTACTGCTGGCTCAGTCTCAACGCATCAACTCGGTTACCATCACATCGTTGAGCACATGCTGCAGACTTGTGGAGGTCACTTGACCCTGCGAACACTCATTCTGTTGCTGCGGTACGCTGTTACAGTGGAAGAATCAGAAGGCGCAGTTTTAGAAGAGCTTGTGGGTCTGTTGTCCTCCCTAACTGGAAGCGATCATGTGATATATAAGAAGAGTTTGCAGGCTGTCCTGGCGGCATCACTTCCTGTTCACGTCGCCCCGGTGGTATTGTCTGTTTTGCGTCGTCACAACATCAATGCGGATATTGTCAAGTTGTGTCTCCACCATGTGGCTGTTGTTGTTCGAGGTCGTCATACTGGTGCTCTCTCCGTTGAAACTGTCATGGGTGGGTTTCATGAATGCGCAGTGAAAGCGTTTAGCTGGTTGCTTCGTAACATGATTCGAGACCAATATCAAGTTGGTATTTGCATTCAAGTCATGTCGTGTTTAAAGCATGCACCAGTTTTTCTCCTTTGTGATGTATATCGTGTGATGGAAGACCATCAATTGGTGACACCCTCTGTTCAATGCAAATTCCTTGCGAATTGTGGTATCGCCATATCGACCAGCAACACTGTTTCTCATGAATGTGCCGAAGTTATTGTTCGTGCGTTTCGCAGTCTGTCCAGAAGTGGTCGAGACACAAATGACATTGAAGAGGGCCTTGTTCACGGTAGCGCCGCTCTCCTTGTCCTCCGTCGCGAGGACCTCGTCCGAGATGTTTACGCGGCATGTCCGATGCTGCGGGAGACTCCACACTCTGTGATGGCGTATGTGCGCAATGGAGATGTTGTGCGGGCCAATCAAGCTCTGTTGCGGTTAGCTCAGTCGCGCGACGAGGGATGGATTAATGTCCCTCTGCCGGTGATGCAAGCAATTCACGAGGTGTGTGTGATGGTGGGTTGTTCTGGCGGACCTAACGACATGGCCCCACTCTACCGCGCCCTCGTCTCTTTTCATAATCCTGGTATGATTGTCAGCCAGTGCATTGAGTATGTGCTTGCGGGTATCTGTGATCGACTGTGTGGCGTGGGGAAGCAGTTTCCAAAGAGTGCACCGCCCCGCGCGGTGCTTGACCACGTTCTTCCGCTTTTTCGTGCTGTTTTGTCGTGTATTGGTGACGATATCAATGTTGACATGATACTGCAAATACTGGAAACAGCAGTTACTGTGAAGCACTTTGGTGTGCCGCTGGCATCGTCGATTGTGTGGGCCTTGCAGCACTCCTCGAGCTTGGCGCTGAAAGAATTGTTCTCTCGCGTAGACCCATCAACAAATGGGACGCCGTTTTTGAGTTACTATGTTCTCTGTTTTACCAGGGATAGGGGCCAGCGAGATACGGTGGAGCATTTGGCGACAGTGTGGCACTGTGAATCGGATCCAATACTGAAGCGGCACCCCTCACTTGCCCCATTGTACAAACTGTGGAAATGCGCTGCATGTGGCCGACTGAACAGTGATCGATTTAACTACTGTCTTTGCTCTGCTCTTCGCAACAGCTTTGTGATTTGTGCTCGTTGCGGCTACGCACAAGATGAGCGGTGGTCTTCCTGTCAGTCTTGTGGAGAACGCATGAATGACAACTCTATTGCTGCAGCTGTTGTGCGGCGTTCCTGGACATGCGATGACTGCGGTGCGAGTAACCCCGCCCGTCAGGTCACATGTTGTTTTCGTTGCAAGTCACCGTGTGGGCCAGGGGCAAAGGCTTTGACGCAACTGGAGGGCTTGAAATCGGAAGTTTGTCAATGCTCTTATACTGAGAAGCCAAATGAGGACAAGGGGAAGACGAGAATGGCACATTATTGTCGAGAATGTGGTTGGTTTCGGGAAACATGGGCTGCCAAAAACTCCGTTGTGTGGTGCTGCGAAGGATGCGGTGAGCTGCGCAGTTCGTTGGACCGCACATGTCCAAATTGCCCACAAGTTGACTGTCTGCCGTTTGCTGTTGTGCTTACGAGCAGCGATTCACTTTTATGTTCGGATTGTAGGCTTCCTGCGGCCAATCCCTTCGCAGTGAAGTGCCCCCAGTGCGATGGTATTCTCTCAGCTGGTGCGTTGGGTCAGGAAATGAAATTAGCAGGGACAACAATTGATAGCACATCTGTGGCGTTGCGATGCTCTGACTGTGGGTTTATTGCCAGTGGGAATGTGTCACAAAACTGTGCGGAGTGCGGTAAGGCGATGCAGGACGCCAAGTTGTTACAGATTTCCGCACGCCAATGCGAGGGGTGTAATAAGGAAGTGGGTCCGCTGCACATTGGGGCCGTCTGTATTCACTGCGCCATGTTTCTGCCACCTGTCGCAAAAGAGGGATGGAGTGCCGCCGTGGTGCATGAAACATTTAGGGTGCTTCTTCAATTATCGGATCGCAGTGTGGAATTTGATGGCATGGTAAAGCTGCTCGAGAAACTAATACACTGCTTCCACACACAAGTGGAGCTCACAGTCGTTGAAGAAACCCGTGTTGTGGTGGCAATGGCGTCCAGCCGCCTGCAGATTAATCTGCGCAGGTTTATGGCGCATGACGCAACTGCGCGTCGTGCGATTGCGCTAACAAAACACCTTTTGGAATATATCGACACCAAATGTTGTATTGTTGGTGTATCGCACTTCTCTGCTGGGCAGTGTCGCCACTGTCTCGGGAGCCATCAAGAGGAACTCTGCGCATACCAACACGATTCATGGTTGTGCGAGGAGTGCGGTGCCGATAATAACAACGCGGATGTGTGCCGCTATGTCTGCCGCAACTGCCTCGCCCTTCGCCCCTGCGTGCGGGAGGCGTGCCCAACGGAGGCGTGGGAGTGTCTTCAGTGCCAGAGGGTCAATGTGGCGTTCGAAGCGTACTGTATCTTCTGTGGTGCTCAGCGTGCGGCGGTGGAGAGCGCGGTGGAGGAAGCGGCTGAGGCGTCCCCGTTTCTCCCAGCAAAGTGCGCTTCGTGTGGCCTTGTGTATTTAGAGGCGCGGTGCCCGCTCTGCCATAATAACGTGCCGGAGTCGATGAACAAGGTGTCGGGCGTCGTGTGCCTTGTGACGAGTCGCTACGCATTTATTCAGCCAGAGGGCACGGAGCACCCTAGTCAGCGGGTATACGTTGGCGAGCCGTGGTTACGGAAGCGGCGTTGGGCCAAAGGGGATAATGTCATATTCACTGCACAGCTCAACAAGCAAGGTGGTTTTCGCGTGACAGCAGTGCACCAGTAGTAAATTCCACAGTGATTGCGAGTTGTGCGCTCGCGCTGATGTTGTAGTTCACATTTACACAGAGAGTGAGGAATATAGAATGTGCTTCTATGGTGCGGACTCCCGCTGGTTTTTCCTGAGCGAGCAGCCTTGAGGTGTGACCTGCGTATCGTGCTTCTTTATTTCTTCGTTTTTATATGTTTGCATCAAAACAAAACTATCATGAAGGGGAGGCGAAGAGCGAGTGAAGATGGTCGCCATGGATTGGCGGCTTGCAACGATGAGCGGGAACCTGACGTGGACGAGAAACACAGAGAGGGCGCCGTTGCACACGATACTGTACTCGGAGCTCTCACCGACGCTTATCGTGGGCCTCACAGAGAAGGGTGGCTCCGCAGTTGACTATGTCAAAGTCTCCTCCGTAGCCTCTGTGACGCATGAAGCCCCTGCAACAGTGACACTGCACCTGCAAGGGGCATCGCACGTGTCACTGATTGCGCCGAACGTTGCGGAGTCTTTCGGGTGGCTGAACGCCGTCAACCTCGCACTCTCCAGTCGAATAGGCAACTCAGCTTACTCTGCAGAGGCTGTCTCACCAAAGGATGGACAGCAACAGCTCCACCAGGAAAAAAAGAAGAATACAAATTCCACTAGGGCGGCGGATCGTGTTACGGAATCACACGAGTGGAGGATGCGAGAGGAACAATTTCCTGTCGATAACGCCATTTTGGTTTATGATGAACCAACACTTTCTACGATTGCAGAAGGCGGCAGTGGCCTCACACCGGAGGAATTCCCCAATAGCGTTGGTCTCAGGGGCTCTCTGCCTGATGTCCTCGCTTCCACTCTTCCGCCACAGCCACCTGCGGTACATCGTTGGAAAAAGGGGGCAAACCGCCAGGAAAAGACAAATATTGAAGCTGCAGCACGCCTTTCTTCGCAACAACCTGCTGTTGAGCGTGCTGTTGTGGACAAACTGATGCGACCGAATTTCACGCTCGTTGGTTCTAGTTGCCTTTCCACCAACGGGGTGGAGAAGAAGGCGTTGTTTGTTGGCAACGAACCTCCTGGGCAAGGGGAAACACATCACATTAAGGTTCATGCTCCTACAGCTCCCCGTCGTGTGGCTTTTCCTATATCCCCACGCGAGAGATCCCAGACGATGCCAAGAGAAGTGGCGGAAACACAAATGCCGTTACTCTCCACAGCGGTTGACGGCCCCTCACTCATGAAAGGCGACGGGGCGCAGGCATTAGAGCTACAAGAGGAGTCGGCTCCAGACTGCCACGAATCAGCGAGAAGGACAGCATGGAACCCTCCCTTATCGACTGCTCCTTCTGTACCCACAACTGACATTAATGAGAGGGTTAAAGAGATAACGAAACAGAAGATGACTTCAGGTAAGGACAAACCGTTGACTCTGAATGAAGAATGGCTAGCCGCTTCCTCATCGACTCAGCACGGTGCTGATGATTTGCTGCGCGAAACTGCGCCAGTTGCTAGAGACGATGAGAGAAGGGATGATGGAGTCAGCAAAATTTCCACGCATGTAGTGAATTCCCCGGTAACAAGCACCATGAGAGGTCCGATTGTAGCCCCTTCCTCCGAGGAACTGCTGCTACTATCCTCAGAAAAAAAGAACCATGCTGTGCTTTCGCCTTTAAGAGACACGACGGTGCGTGCGCTTCGCCTTGACCGCTTGTCTGAGGTAAAAGGGGCAGTAGGTAATATGGCACAGGATGTCGACGATGTGGAAAAGATGTGGATGCCAAGCAAAGAACAGGTGGGAGAGGCTCGTAGTGTTCCAGAGACGTCTTGGTCAATTGAGCCGCCGTTGCGATCAACTGCTCATTCAATCTTGTCGTTGGGCAGTGAAATTCGGCCGACGGCGCCATCATTAGACTTACCGAGTGCCAACGGCAATCGGGAGAGTAGGTGTAAGAGTCGCGATAGTCAGCAGAAATGTATCTCGGCAGATTCCATTATTGACCGAATTATTAGAACGCCTTCTCGCAACGCCCCTCGTGACTCCACTGGCTCTCCAGTGATGCTGGTGCCTGGGGTTGACACACCACCGTCGCGGGAGCAGGACGGTTATTATCGGCCCATTGAGGCGGCGGTGGCGGCGATCCCGCGACGCAGCGCCTCCGCTACGAGGCATGTGTTGGGGCGGTCCACCAGTCTGAAGAGCGCGTGGCGGGGAGGCTCTGCGGTACGTGTCGTTGCTGCAAGAGATGTGGCGCCTCTTGCAATGCAAAGTGTTCGGCCGTCCGTTCGGCAACGCATTGTCTCAAGCCGTGACGGCAGTCCACATCACACGGATGACTATTTACGTGGACGCAACGCGGTGATATATTCGTCAGCACACCGGAGGTCGGTGGAGCGCAGAAGCCACCACCATGACGCGGTGGATGGACGTGACCGCGCGCCCCCGTTTCGCTCGCGCCGTGGCAGAAGCCTGCACGACGAGTCACCGCGGCACTTCTTATCGGTGGCAAGGCGACCGGAACGAAAGAAAGGCGCTGAAGCCGATGTCAGTGACTCGGAGTGGCGGGCTGCGTTTCTCATGAAACCGAGGATATTCACGAAGCACGCGGTGCGGGGCTACGGCGGGAGGAAGCACTACGTCTGCCTGACCGGTGACCACGCGTATGTTGTGTGCATTCCCGCGCGCGACTTTGACGCGCAGCTTCCCATGCATCACAGTGGCGTGTCCTCGCTAGAGGAGGCGGCCCGTGTCTACGGTGACGCGTTCCGTGCGATGGCGTTGCGCAGTATTGACCGCGTCTCGCTGGGAACGGAAGAGGAGTGGGCGCAGGGGTGGCACCTCTGTCGCGTAGGGCCAGAGAGGCTCGTGTGCATCGTGTCGCACACACACGCCTTTGTGCTGGAGGCGGGTGCGGGCGCCGAGGCGGAGCACTACGTGAGGGCGTGGAGGGCACTGCTATCAGGGGATGCGGCGTGGCGCATCTCATAGAGGCGGAAGAGGAGAGGCGCCTTGCAGTTTGGTTTGGATGTTTGGTTTCAGTTCTTTGTTTTGCCAGGCGATATCAATGTGATACTGTTGATGTTGATGATGGTGAGAGTCCCCCTTCCTGTCGTCTTGTATGTGCTATTCGGTTGACAGACAGAGGCAGATGTGCGCACGCACGCACGCATATGCGTGTACAAACATGAAGAGATAACTATCGAGCATACAGTTTTTGCGCTCTCTTGGCGGGGGAGTGGATTCTGAATGATATCGTTTTTGTGGTTTGTTTAATTGTGTGTGGTGTTGAGGGCCTTGCCGCCCTCTATCTCACATTTATTTCCTCTCTTTCACTTTCTCTCGATGCTTGCTTCCCCACTTGTTAATAGTTTTATCCGCGTTTTTCTTTTTCGGTGTGTGGGTGGGGGTGGGGGTTAAGCCGTCATTTCTGTCCTCCGATGTCAACGTCGGCACAACATGTGGCGAGTCTTCTGCGGCAGCGGAGCAGCTACAGCAGCGGCGCCGGCGAGAAGGACACGCTGGTGAAGCTCACAAGAGATGTTGAACTCTTCTTGCGCCATGCGGCGGATGTCCCCCCTGTCGTGATGGAGACACCGCAGGGCGGCATGAGCCCCAGCAGCGGCGAGTGCAACACTGACAGCACAGTGGAGGTGCAACTGAACGTCGTGGCCGGCGTGCTCGAGCCGCGCGAAATGACCGACGGCGTGGCGGCGCTTGACGGTGTGTTGCTGCCGACAGCAGAGAACCGTGCGGCACTCGATCGGCAGCGACTGACGGAGGCGCAGGCGATGCTGAATCTCGCGAGTGCGCTCACCGCCACCAAAGAGGCAGGGCAGCGGCGGGGCGATACGCGCAGTGCGGACGGCGGTGAGAAAGAAGGTGGCGACGACGACGATGACGATGACTATGAATCGGTCGCGGTGTTTGATGCCGCCGATTTAGAAAATGACACGAGTTCTGATGACGACGACGATGATTACGGCGACGGTGAAGGTAACGCGCACAAGCAGCTACCTTCCCGCATCGTAGAGCTAAACTGAGATGACGCAGTACGAGTAATACCATCCATGGGACTACTTTCTCCCACGTGATGCGCGCGCAACAACGAGGGCGACGGCAGCAGCAGCAGCAGCAGCAGCCATCATAGTAGCTGCATGGTATACCACAATCATATCTCTTTATTATTTGCTTTTATTCCTCTCGAGTAACGGTGCTGTTGTTCTTTTTTTTTTTGTTGTTTTTCTCTTTCTCGCTATATCTATCTATCTACGCTACATCAAATTCACCTGAGCAGTTTACAAGTTAATTCTGTTTGTAAGAACTCGAAGAAGGCGAAAAGGAGGTAAATGCGGCGCTTCACGAAGGTCCCCTTTGCTGCGTTTGCAGCAACGGCGCCACTGCGCACTCTGTACAGTGCGCTTGTGGAGGACCACTACAACAACCCGCGCAACGTGGGCAAACTCGACAAGACCGATCCTAACGTTGGCACTGGCCTCCGAGGCGCCCCCGAGTGTGGCGACATGACGCAGATGCAGATGAAAGTGAACCCGGACACAATGGTCATTGAGGATGTGAAATTCAAGGCGTTCGGCTGCGGCAGCGCCATCGCAGCGTCATCGTACGCGTCGCAGGCGATCCGGGGAAAAACGCTGGCGGAGGCACTGGAGCTCACCAACAGGAAGATCGCACAGGAGCTCTCGCTTCCGCCTGTCAAGCTGCACTGTTCAATGTTGGCGCAGGAGACGATTCACGCGGCGGTGGATAACTACCTGTCAAAGAACCCCTCCCTCAAGTCGAAGGTACAGAAGAGCAAAGCCCCAGCTGTGGAGACGAGTAGCCATTAAGTCCGCTGCTGCTTTGACGAGGAAAATGGGACACAGTGGGGGTTGGAGAAAGGGAGAGAGGGAGTGAGCAATCAAAGACAAAAAAGGAAAAGAAAAGCAGAAAGAGACGCATGTAAGTGCCATTTAAAGTCACTATCTCTGTTCCCGCTCCACCTTTTTGTGCCCCTATATTGGCTCAATTTTCCTGCGTGTTTGTGTTTACCGTATATCTACCTGACTATCTTTATATTTCACAAAGACACTCTCACACACAGACGCACACACCGAGACGCAAATCCCCATATCTGCTGCTGTTACTTTTGTTTGTATTGAGACGTATATATATATATATATATATACTTAGGGTTCATAACAGAATGGCAAACGTAGAGAAAAAAAAAGAATAAATTGTGGGGACGAGTTGAAGGGAGGTGAGGGAGGCACCTGATTTTGTTGCTTGGGTTGAAGTGGGGTAGTACGTGCGACTTAACCCGTTTTACTCATCATTACTAGTTTTTGTTGTTTCGTATATATTTCACTCTCACACTTCTTCTCCCGCACTCAACAAGAGTCATCTCGTGTGTGTGTAGTGTGTGTGTGTAGTGTGTGTGTGTGTATTGACACGCGAGTGCGTCTGTGCATGGCAGTGGGTGGGTGTGTGTGTGTGTATATCTGTGTCGCCGCCGTGAGTCCGCTCCCGCTGTGTGCCTCTGGCGTCCGCAACGTGGCGTGGACTACATCGCCTCTTCCGCGTGGAGTGTCGTGTGGGGGAAGGGAGGCAAAGGGATCGCTTGTCTTTCCCCCTCTTGTTGCCGCGACGCCGATGTGGCCACCACCAGAGGTGCAGGCCACAAGGGGAAGAGTAGCAACAACAACAACAATAATAGCAGCAATGAGATCGATGAAGGAATTGACGGGAATGAAGGAAAGAACGAAGAAGGGTAGAAGCAAAAAGTGAAACAAATTTTTACTTTTGGGGCGTCCTTTTTTTTTTTTCTTCAGTTTTTCTTTTCTCTCCCTGTCGCTTCGGAATCGCAACGAGTGATGTTTTTCCCCCACAATGAAACCAAATCAAATTTGAAAAAGCGGAGGAGGACGACTTGTCGGAGGCGGTGTCATTTTGTTCGCATTTTTTTTTTTGCTTCGTGGTGTTTTGGAGCTACTCTGTTTGGCTGCCTCTGTAGTCGACGACCTGTTTTTCTCTTTTTTTCTTGTCTGTGTGTGTGCTTTCTTGTCCGTTGTTGCGCTTGTTTCCAAAGGCGCGTTTTGCCCTTGTCTCTCTCTCTCTCTCTCTTCCCATCGCATGGCGCTGTCATCCCTCCGCTGGAAAGAACAGAGGGGAGGGTAAAGGAGTTGCAGCAGCGTAACGAGGGCCGCATGTCTGTTGTGCTCGCGACGTCGCACGGCAGCCTGCTGCTGCACCTGCGCTGCACCGACTGCCCCAAGGCGTCCTTCAACTTCCTCGCGCTCTGCGCCTCGGCGTACTACGACGGCTGCCGCTTCCACCGCCGCGTCGCGCAGGCGTTCGTGCTGACCGGTGACCCCACGGGAACGGGGCGCGGCGGCGAGTCCATCTTCGCGCCGAAGGAGCGCTACTTTGACGATGAGGCGCTCGGGTCCGCGCTGCATGACGGTCGTGGTGTTGTGTCGATGGCGCACAAGGGCAACAAGGCCAACACCAATGCGTCGCAATTCTTTATTTTGTTCCAGCCGTGTCCGTCACTCGACGGGAAACATACCGCATTCGGCGTGGTGGACTTGGAGTGGAACAATGGCGAGAGTGAGCGAACGCTCAAGCGACTGGAGGAACTGCAAATCGATGACAAGCACAACGTGCTCGATGGTGACGCAAAGATAGTAGGCGCAACGGTGCTGTATAATCCTTTTGCCGAGGGACACATCAAGCTTGACGTGTAACGCGGTTGTTTTTTTGTTGTTGTTGTTGATGTTGCTGCTCCACAGCCACAACAACATGAGGAGGGGAAAGAGAAGTTTTACTTTTGCCTTGTGGTTGAAAATGCACCGTCTGCAGCAAGCAGTAGCAGTAGCAGCAAGCCCTCTACTCCTCTCAGCATTTGCTACAGGTACAGACATACGTACTCCCATAGAGAGGGAGAGTGAGTGTGGGGAGGCGGGGGAGAGCAAGAAGGAAAGGTGTGAAAATGAGCGATGGTGATGGCGACAGGATGACGCGCAAGCGTCCAAGAGATCCGCCCTTTGTTGAGGACTACCGCCCGTACACGGGGCGTCAGCTGGCGCGTGTGCTGGAGGGCAGGGCCACGCATAAGCACCACTGGGACCTATACTACCGCAACAACACCGTCAATGGGTATCGCGACCGTCACTACATCATTCGCGAGTTCCACGAGCTCCGCGAAGCGCTCGACGGGCTCAAGCAGGCGGTCGCTGCGCCGCTGCATGACGTCGTGTGGATGGAAGCGGGCTGTGGCGTTGGCAATGCCCTTCTCCCAATTCTTGAGGACTACGACGACACGGTGGGCTGGCGCATTGTCGGCTTCGACATCTCCTCCGTCGCTATCGCGCTGCTGCAGGAGAAACGGGCGGCCCTTCCCGCCCAGCAGCAGCGGAAACTCTCCGTGCAGGTGCTGGATCCGGTGGAGGAAGACATCCCTATCGCCGGTGCGTCGTCTGTGTGCCGCCGCCCGTTGGCGAAGGAGCCGGTGGACTTCGTCTCGATGATCTTTGTGCTATGCTCTATACCGGTGGAGCACCACCTGCTGGTGCTGCGCCGCGTGGCGGCATGCATGAAGGAGGGCGGCATCTTTTTTTTCCGTGACTATTGTGTGACCGACCATGCGGAGCGGCGCTTCAGCAGTAATCGTCTGGTGGAGGAGAACACATTTGCCCGCACCAACGGGACGCTGAGTCACTTCTTCACTGCAACAGAGGTGCGGCGGCTCTTTGAAGCTGCAGAGCTCGACGTCGTGGAGCTATCGGTGGTCGAGCGCGAGGTGCTCAACAGGAAGGAAGGCGTGAATCTGCAGCGGCGGTTTCTTCAGGGGCGATTTCGTAAGGCAAAGAGGCGGGGTGAGGACAAAGACGATGTGGTCGCAGATGCCTCCGCCATGATTCGAGTAAATACGTGATTGACGGATATAAATCTACTTTGTTTTTGTTGTTTTGCTTCCCCTCTGTACTTCTGCCTTCTGGAAGAGTATATATATTTTTTTTCTTCCTCATTTGAAGTGTCCGCCGCATTCAAAAGCATCTCCATTTTCGATTTGTTTTTCTCACTTCTGGCTATCTTCTTCTTGACGCATTGGCTTCGCGGCCAGTGGCAACATCGAGATATTGCTGGCGGTGCGCGTGGTGTGCTGCGATGGGGGTGCACGGCCTCTGGCGTCTCCTCGACACGTTCGGCGAAGTTACACAGCCGGGCGACTGGCGCGGCAAACGTGTTGCCATTGATGCGAGCATCTGGATAACGCAGTTTCGCGCCCAGTGCGCGGCCGGCGAGAACGTGGAGCAGCGCATCCTCGAGGGGTTCCTGCTGCGCATCCTGAAGCTGCTCTTCTACGGCATTGAACCGATCTTTGTGTTCGATGGAATCGCCACGTCATCCAAGTCGGCGGAACACCAGCGGCGCGCCCAACGGCGTGGAGCACTGGAGCGTGCGGCTCTGTCGCGTCGCGCTCGTCAAATTGTTGCGGCGCAGCTGGCAGCAGGTGTGCTTGATGTGCACGCACTGCAGCGGCGCAGTCCGGCGAAGGCTAGGATGCTTTCGCCCAGCCCGCAGAGGATGATTGGAGGCTGGGATGTGCCACGACTGCCACTGAATAGAAGTTCTGTTGTAGTGTCGGGCAGCAGCAGCAGCAGCAGTAACAGCAGTATCGGTTGTGATGGCGGTCCGCACAAAGTGTCGCGGAAGCGTCGGCGGAATATGCGTCTCAAGCCGGATGTAATTTCACGGGACGTCACGAATTCGTTCTTGTGTGAAGCGGAGGAATGGATTGAGCAGCGGAAGCGCGGAGAGATGTGTCTCAATTCGAATGCACTCGGGTATTCCAGCACTTCACTGTTCATGGGGCCTCGCCGAGTAGTGGAGGGGCCAATCGGTGCATTGGCGGCGAATGGGGCTCTTACGGGTGGCGTGGCCAACCCGGCATTACCCACCGCTTTGTCTTCAGGAGGCACCACGGAGTCCTCGGTTATAATTGATGATGATGATAATAATGGTGATAATAATGCTGCTAGTGATGATTCAGAAGGCCATGAGACGGTGTCCAGTGGTACCGGCACAGAGGACTCTGTCATTGTTGTTAGTGGTGACGTGGAGACTTTTGTGAGTCATCTTCGTGATTTGGAGAAGGATGTGAGTAACTCGTCAAACAGCAGTTGCACTGAGTCCTCCTCGGGTTCTGATGATGTAATGAGTGATGACAGCCCCTTCTGCAGCGGCAGCGATACCAGCAACAGCGATGGCAGCGACAAGAGCAAGGGCTCGACCACCTTATGGAACCCGGGCACACAGCTAGTCGGTTTGACGAGTCCAGAGGGGAAGGCGACGGACCATAAGGTACCTGAGTGGAGTGACGAGCCACAAACAGTCGTTCCTTTCCACTCGGTCAGTTATGAGGCCAATGAGGTAACGGATGCGGTAAGACCCACAGAAGCAGCATCCGTACCAGAAGCACCACCACGGCGTTGGTATAGTTCAAAAGCAAAGCAGACTATCCCGTTTAACCTGCTTGAAATTGTGGAGCTACTCGATTGCTGTGGGATTCCGTTTGTGCTCAGCCCCAACGAGGCGGACGCGCAGTGTGCCTTCTTGAGTCAGAAGCGTCTTGTCGACGCGGTTTTTACAGAGGACAGCGATGTCATTGTCCACGGCGCCGCAGTTGTCCTTCGTGGTTTTTTCGCAAAGGGTCGTCATGTCGTGGCGTACCACCAGAGCGACCTGCTAGCGTCAGGCGTGGACAAAAACGTCCTGGTCGCGCTAGCACTTCTTCTTGGTTGCGACTATGCGGAGGGTATTAATGGCCTCTCTCTGCTGGATGCATTGCACGTGATCGCCGCTGTGTGGACTAACCCGCAGGGTGGCAGTGACGGTGCTACGCATGTGTTGGGGATGCTGCGGCGCTGGCGGTCTGCTGTGACGCAGCGCTGCCTGCTGTGGGACGACGGAAGCACTCTGCTGGAGTTCTACGGGAGACTTGCCAAGTGGAGCACGCTGCGGATGGATAGCGGCTTTCCGCAGGCACACGCCGTCGATGCATTCTTTAACGCCCCAATCGATACGGACGTGGCACCCTTCACTCCAGCCTCGCCAGATTGGCGGCGTCTGCGCTCTTTCGCCAGCGTGCAGGGTCTCCTTGGTAGTGCCTTGTGCCGTCAGCGGTTGGATTTGGCGCAGAAGGAATATATGTCACGACAGGCGCATCTTCATAACGGAGTTGAGGACCAACAGCAGCGGAAGCTAACAGAGTTCGTTGTGCAGCCGCAGAGGGATGAGAGACGTGTATTTAAGAAGCAACCTCCAAGATACGCAGCTGTACTTTCGACGCTGCGCGACGTGAGGGAAGGGCGGTGTGCGTAGACACCGCATGCTTTT